ACATCACCATTGGGGTAGATCATAATCCCCTGTTGTAATACATCACTAATGGGGTAGATCATAAACCCCTGTTGTAATACATCACTAATGGGGTAGATCATAAACACCTGTTGTAATACATCACTAATGGGGTAGATCATAAACCCCTGTTCTAATACACCACCAATGGGTTAGATCATAAACCCCTGTTGTAAAACATCACTAATGGGGTGGATCATAAATCCCTGTTGTAATACATCAACAATGGGTTAGATCATAAACCCCTGTTGTAATACATTACCAATGGGTTAGATCATAAACCCCTGTAATACATAAACAATGAGTTAGATTATTAACCCTTATTGTAATACATCACCATTGAGTTACATCATAAACCCCTGTTGTAATACATCACTTATGGGGTAGATCATAAACTCCTGTTCTAATACACCACCAATGGGTTAGATCATAAACCCCTGTTGTAAAACATTACAAATTGGGTGGATCATAAATCCCTGTTGTAATACATCAACAATAGGTTAGATCATGATCCCCTGTTGTAATACATCAACAATGGGTTAGATCATAAACCCCTGTTGTAAAACATTACAAATTGGGTGGATCATAAATCCCTGTTTGTAATACATCAACAATAGGTTAGATCATGATCCTCTGTTGTAATACATCAACAATAGGTTAGATCATGATTCCCTGTTGTAAAACATCACTAATGGGGTGGATCATAAATCCCTGTTGTAATACATCAACAATGGGTTAGATTATAAACCCGTTGTAATACATTACCAATGGGTTAGATCGTAAACCCCTGTAATACATAAACAATGAGTTACATTATTAACCCTTATTGTAATACATCACCATTGAGTTACATCATGAACCCCTGTTGTAATACATCACTAATGGTGTAGATCATAAATCCCTGTTGTAATACATCACCAATGGATTAGATTATAAACCCTTGTTGTAATACATCACCAATAGGTTAGATCATGATCCCCTGTTGTAAAACATCACTAATGGGGTGGATCATAAATCTCTGTTGTAATACATCACCAATAGGTTAGATCATGATCCCCTGTTGTAATACATCAACAATGGGGTAGATCATGATTCCCTGTTGTAACACATCACCAATGGGGTAGATCATAAACCCCTGTTGTAACACATCACCAATGGGACAGATCATAAACCTTTGTTGTAATACATCAACAATGGGTAGATTATAAACCCCTGTTGTAATACATCAACAATAGATAGGTCATACACCCCCTGTAAAACATCATTAATGAGTTAGATCATAAAATCAAAACTTCTTGTGCATAGAATAACTGGAACATTGCTACCAAAACTTTCTTCATTCACGTGACAGTTAAAAGCATAAACAAACAGTTGAATAAAATATTTTAAACCTTACGTTCAAACATGACAGAAAGGGTAGCAATGAGAAGACTGAAACAGGATGGCTGTAAACCACATTAGAAGTTTACAAAAATAATTTATCAATTACAGTTTTCTCTCTTGTTTTTGAAACAGAGAGAGAGAGGGAGAGAAAATGAAAACTCAAAAGTTTGATGTCCAGATTCAAAACCTTTTAATCATGTTGACCTCCTCTGAACAAAACACCAAACAGCGGTATATGGCCCTACAGATTATGTATACCTATTTTGATTGTGGTTTGTAAACTTATCTGAGGTGTGCGAAAGTCCAATAACTGAATTTTTGTTATTATAAGACAATGAACTAAAATGCACTCACCCAAGAATTATGGGTACTTAATGAGTCCATCTTCAGTGTGTTGGTAAAAAAAAAAGTGTGGCCACAATGAAAACAAGAAATAGAAACTTTTGTTGTACTTCAAAATTTATAGTGCATACTGGAGGGATTTACACATTTTGATAAAAGTTTAGAAAAAAAACGGCCTTTACATGTATTGTATTTTAACCCTGATGTAGCCTCAAAGGCGAAACGTTGGTTGAAATAGAAATATATTCTTTTATATTTATCTGGAGTGTAAAGGTTGTTTTTTTTTCTAAACTTTTATCAGAGAGTTGTAAACAAAAACAAAAAAGTTCACAATTACCATTTTATTTAATGCAGTACAAAATATTAAAACACCGATAATGCTGGAATAAAGTGTTAATGCGTAATATTCAAGTACTTTAGGCACTCTCTAACAAGTGAAAATTCTTTTGAAATACATGTTAGTGAATTAAAACAAAAAAACATGAGTGATTCGGCATGATCAATACAATACACGTGGTCTGGTTTGTCTGATTTTAAACAAATCTCCGACTTCCTTAACACGTTAGAATATTCTAGGCAGTAAGCTAAAGGGGAATGAATTCCTAGGAATATTTTCTGTGTAGATATGTGCATACATTTAACACGTAAACATGAGCTTGCTTTTCTAAAAAAAAAAAACTATCCATATTTGCTCATAAACATAAGTTCACAGCAAGCAAAATGTTATCTTCTGTCGCAATGAGAAAATGAATTATTTACGACAGTCTGTCTGACCTTGGGTTTCAACACCGCCATGCACGCGAGACGCGTACACAGACATATACAACTGTAGCCTACCCTGCCCACAGGCACTATCACTTTTCACCCAAGTAACTTTCGCCTTTACTTCTATATTAAAGCTGATAAATTCTTGTCACTCGCGGAAGTCCCGAAGCGAATTCTTTAGTGAATATCACTAAAACGTAAGCATACTTCTAACACGCTGCACGCGAAAACTTACTTTTCATTCATTATTGTTTTTTTGTGTCCAGCCAACCAGCTCACTTCGACTTAAGTGAAGTAAACAAACGTGTTTTAACAGACGCCAAACATTTAATTGTACATGATGAAATATTTAGTGCACGTGACGTGTTCAAAAACCACTACACAGACAGACTTTACGTCGACATAAAAAAAAAAATGACAAGTCTGACGAGATATTATAATATTTACAGGATACCATACCTGGAAAATGAATACAATATACACATTGACAAGAGGTCAGGAAGCACAATGTTCTTGTTTTTTTTCTTGCATAGCACAAAAACAAATACTAAAAATAAGGACAAAAAAAACACTATAGTTTTGGAAGATATATAAATGAGAAATGAACAAAATTACCATCAATATTACAGTTAATTCCACTAATTGCTGCTAGGGTCCCACGTGCATTTTTACATAGAAAATAAGTGATTTAAACTCAATGATTTGGGTCAGTTCTTTGCAAATAATGTTGTACCAAGCCAAATTATATGATACGATGCAATATGTGGACTTCAAAGGTAGTGAACGGTATGAAAACAAGTCGGAAATTTGAGAGTTAACACTGCGTTCTTGGCAGTTTCGTTAGGCCTACAGTGCAGCACACAATAATGTAGTTTTAAATACACAACCACTGTTTTAAAATTTTAATCACCAAGTACAAAAACTAAAAAATTAAGATCATAAAACATCATTAAACGAACAACTAAACTACAACTCTGCTTAAATAGAACATTACAGGATTTATAATAGATTAAAAAAAATTCATAAATACAAAACTTTACATACAATAACATTTTACACCATAGGAAATTTTGTGTCAATACAAGTTGGAATCAAATACATTTTACTCAATAAACTGAATTAAAAAAAACTCGTGAACTTCTGAACTTACAAGAGCAATAACCTTTCAAAAAAAAAACAACAAACAAAGACGATGGGATAGGTACTAATATCAATATGAGCTAAGTGTATCTTAACCTATACTCTTATGAACAGATCTTCATATATGATTGCTTGCCATGGGTGCATCAATATAGGCAGTATATCATATATAATCCCCAAAACCATTCTTCAAGTTATTCCCCATCAAACTTTAAGAAACAATGCAACCTCCATTTAAAATCTGTCCATCCATCCATCTATACGTCTCTATCCATCATCATCTTTCTCTCTCTCTCTTCTATTATCCATCTATATGTTTACTTACCTACCAACATTTTTTTTCCCTGTTGATAGAAGAATATCAATGCGGTGGTTTAAATGAAACATAACTCTTTCCCACTGATTAGTTTTAAGTTTTTATTTTTTACAAATCAAAGTCAACAGTAATTTTTTCTACCTATGACTAAGAAGGAAACAAGATTATTACTTTCCTATTCTGAGCCCATCTTTACTCTTCAACATCTCACAGTTAGTTGGAAGAAATACACTAATTTCTCAAGTAATGTTAAATGTTCTTTCTGTTGTTATATAATTTTTTGATAAAAACTTAGTTGTAAGTGTCAATGGCTATGTTTCATAGTTCACATCAAGTTAAAGATTTGTCTCATATTTATAAACTACCAGTGCAGGTCAAAAAACGTTTGACTCGAAGTCTGCGGGTCGCGGGTTCGAATCCCCGTTACACCAAACATGCTCGCCCTTTCAGCCTTGGGGGTGTTATAATGTGACGGTCAATCCCACTGTTCGTTGGTAAAAGAGTAGCCCGAGAGTTGGCGATAGGTGGTGATGATTAGCTGCCTTCCCTCTAGTTTTACACTGCTAAATTAGGGACGAGTAGTGCAGATAGCCCTCGAGTAGCTTTGCGCGAAATTAAAAGCAAACAAACCTAACTAATTAGTGAAAAAAACAGATGTTTTTCCTCATGAACTCCATGAAAATAACGATACAACACAATGGTTTATTCCACACAGTCACATGTCTGTCCATTGATATGCTGAGTTCACAATTCATAGGCTTGTTTTGTGAACCTTAATTTTTTGAAAAGTTACTGATTAGATCATGTAACTGTAACAAAAAACAGATTTGAATGTTGGAAATATAACAATTCGGTGGGTATCCCTTTAAAGACAGCACTATAAGGAATTGCTGATGCCCTAATACCGGGCCATGCCAGGCCAATTAGTTAGGACTAGCCCTGTAAATTATATGTTTTTCTTTCACGTTAAAAAATGGTCGTGTTTACAAGGATTGAGATTACGTTCACAATCCTAGCAAACTTATGTTGGTTTTATTTGACGACTCTCTATTTAATGAATCTGAAATAGAGAAATAGCATTTTCATGTATTTTGAGAGATAAAAATATTGCTAAAAAAACAAAACACAATCTCACCTCGGCTGATTCCAGATCTTTGTTGTAAGACTTTGGAGGAAACCTCATTGCCTAAAATGAATGTTAAGAAATTTAATATTAAAGGAAAACAAACCAATAATAAAAAAAAAACTACCTCAACATCTGATTTTTGTAAATACAAACAGTTTGATTTATAATAACACAAACTGCATACAGAATAGCAACAAATCAAATTACATCTATAAACTTGAATACCAAAATTCAAAACCAATGTGATACACTAATGTACAGGGCATTGAGTACCTTATACCAAAATGACTTTGGAGCCTTACCACATCATTAACATTCATGTTGCAACGTCTGGTCATGCTCTATTTAATGACAGTGAATCTTTACGATAAACTTGGAGCACAGTTTCCATTGCAAAAAGCTCTGTTGCAAAGATGTTCTGTCTAAAGCAAACCACTCTAACTTGCAGGCTTTCCATAATCTAACTAGTGTATGACGGCAGCACCTTTCCAGCTCCTGTTTAAACAGTCCAATCACATAGAAATTCAAAGGAGGCGTGTTCAACAATCTGACTAGTATGTATTCATATGGAATAGCATGAACACACATTTCCTTCTCCAACTGCTTAAGTTATGCAACAATCGCATGGAAGGTATCACTGGAAGAATTATCTTGGTAAACCCATATCTTGTTGGTCTTGTTTCCAGATGAAGATCCTTCTTAATTACATTGTGTATTGTTGACTTGGACAAGTGGATGTCACTGACTTTTGTGTTCATGTACTCTCACCTGTTACAAGATGCCATACTTTGCTCATCACATCTGTGGTACAACTTGTTGCAAGTCTCTTTCTGGATGGTTCTGGTTCCCCAAGTTGATCCACATTCCTTTATTTTCCGATGTGATTAAATAAAAGGGATATCTCAATTTGGAAATTCGAAATCCCCAATATGAACAACCTCTTTATTATTTGACTGTATGAATATTTTGCATCAGAAAGAGCATATATACCCTTCCCAAAAGTTACACATTTTTGGTAACAATTTTTTGGTTGTGAATGACTAAACATAGTAAACCAGTAAGTATGCTTATAAGTTACCTGACAAGAAAAATTACATATATCTAAATTTAACTTAAATCAAATACTGTGTTACTGCTTTAACCAACAAGTTTCAATAAAAGCATAAATTTAATAAAGTAACATATTTAGGACAAACAATGAAATGAAGTATGTCTGAATTATATGAACTACAACTATAAAATTATTAATCATCCTCCATAAATTTTTGGGCAACATATATATATATATGTGTGTGTGTGTGTGTGTGTGTGTGTGTGTGTGTGTGAAGCTGATCATCTCTGTTTTACAGTATTATTTTTTATGGACGGATTTAATGAAACCTGTATAATTACCTAATCAACAAAGATTTCTTAACTACTGTTTGTTTGTTTACCAATGTTTTTTTTTATTGATTAATGAAGGAAGAAGCTAAACAAAATAATAATAATATGCTTTGCTAAATGGGATGCACATTTTTATCACTACTGGTTAGATTCTATAAAGTACATTATCTTGACAGTTCCTTTAGCAGCAAATAGAAATATTAAAATGTTAAATTGTTCTAACTGTACTAAAACAACACAATCCTATGATTATTATATATACCACATAATGTAAAATGAAATGCATGATAATTAGAGCAAGATGATGTTTTTTTTCAAAAATAATAAATTTTTATATTGGTCACCCGAAAACATATATCATAAATGATGTAACTGATTATCCTCTCAACAATGATTAAAATTTGTATGTTAATTTCCAATTAGCTTGTATATATTCTTAATTTTTTTATGAAACTTAAAATATGTACCACAGAGAATTTTGGGCCCAGCTATTTATAGTAAGAGTTAAATCTTCAGTTTCAGTAGTTCTGAAATCAAACTAAAAACTATCCAAATCAGTTTTCAGTTGTGGATTACCTGAAACTTTTTCCTGCCATGAAATACTTCACAGGATGTATTAATAAAAGTTTGTCTTGTTAATCAAATAGGTTGAATTTTTTATTACTTTACTTCTCTGTATGCAAGATATTTTATTAGAGTTTGTTTCGCTATATTTTAAATAATCTAGTTTCTGTCTACTCCTTCAGCAGCTAATTAGAAAACACATGGAGTATTTCAGCAATTCCTAACTTGTCAAACTGGAATCATTAATAGTGATCAAGACCTTCTTACTTAATGATGACTGAAATATGGCAGCTTATTAGCCAAGAAATGGTGTATTTTAACAATTTTTAATTTGACTTGTTGCTAGGTATGAATGTATGAATTGAAGTTAAAAATAAATGAAGTCATAAAATACTATTTTGGTTTTAACTAAGTTGCACTTTGGTTTAAAAATTTAGTCAGTAGTCTCGCTCTAAATATAGCTTACAAATTTTTGTGTATTGTACTCAGGAAAGTGAACATGAAATTTTAACCTAATATGAAAAGGGTTACATTTGATAAATTGGTATGGTGGATTTACCTTAACAGAGTGGTTATGAATGTCTAAGCAAAAGCTGATTCTTTGATGAAAAGCAGCTTGAGGTTCACGAGTACAATAAATATCAATGTTTTCTTTGGACTGCATACATCCTTTTTCATGATCAATTGTTGCTTCAATAACCCCATCTCTGATGGCCTATAAAATTAAAATCTTCTTCTTAGTTCAGTTCAAGGATAATTAGCACAAAATTATTCAAATCTTTTGTTTTCTGTAAGACACTTCTTAGTACTAATCACAATACATTACACGAGACACATCATATATAATTAAGCCAACAATACTAAGAAGCATGAGTATGCCAAACCTTTAAGCTTATTATAAAAGTTGAGAGTATAGAAACAATAGAACATAATGGAAAACATATATTTACTACCTTTAACACAGAAATTACTATGTACTAGCTCCAGAAAACTATTTTAATAAACTGTAATTTATACATTTTCTTCTTTCTAAAAATCTAAGAAACGTTTTAACAATGGAATTATTATTATAATGCATTATGAATTATGACTAATCAATAAATTATCAACAATGATTAATCATACAATTAATTATCGTCTAATACGATAAACACAGTAATTATTCAAAGATCTACAAAGACATTGATAAGTCTGCCAAATGTCTTGCCCATAGTATGTTTTTAGATTTAATAATCAGGTTAATCAATAGCTCTATTTATCAGTCATTCAGATGTCATGCAACAGAATGATTTAAGCAGTCATTGTACGGAGAGTTAATTGTACTTTATAAGAACAACGTTCAAGTCCTGCAATGTACTTGGAACTACTACTGATGGTTGTGGTTATAGATTAATGCCAAACATTACAATTTCTACTGTACAAATTGTCTGAACAGAAGATGAGGACAGTCTTAGAAGAATCATCATGATAAACTTACCACAGACCCTCTACTGTATGTGGATATGTTTCCAAAGCCACATTTACGCAAATCAGAAACAAAAAAATTTATTACAGTTGCATCTGTGGACTTGGCATTTATGTGGTTGAATAGGATTGCCAGGCAGTGTTCTTGTTAGGATTTGAATTTTTTTTTACAGTTCTGGGGATGAAAGCATTTGGAAAAAAAGGTATCCGTTTATATTTTTACACAAAAAATAAGAACATTACAATTTATAATTTTTTCATTTTTTACTTAGTAACTGTGTTAACATTTTGAACATGTTCCACAATGCATTGGTTTTCCAATGATGTTTTCCTTGCTATGAGGTCCTCCTCATCAGGTAGTACAGAATTTGAAAGACAGATGGTGCTAAATTCAAGTCAAACTTCCTTATGTGGAATTCCATCAGACAGGACAGAACATTTCTGCCCACGATACCACAAAAAACAGTATGGATGTTGTAGTGTCAAATAAAAGCAAAATTCAAACCAAAGATTTCATTTTTATTGAAAACTATACAATGGTGAATAAGATTAAAAGAACAACATTAATGGAATTTAGCCTGTGGCTCCAAGATGAATTATAAAGCATTTTTCTCAATTCCCAATTTTACATTTAGGTGTAAAAAGAGTGTTAATGCAAACAACACTGTCATTTAATTTTTTTTTTTCATGAAACCAGTCACTGGTGTTTAAGTGTGGCTGGAAACTTGTGAACCATCATCAAATTAAAATCCTTGTTATAACCCTGTTAATGGCACCAGGAGACATGCTCAATTTCATTGCACTGACCTTGTGTAACAATAATCTTAATTTTTTCTTTTTTATGCAGGTGCTACTAGAGATTGCTTTGGGTGTGATTAGAAATCCATTGATTTCCTAAGTGCTTTGCTGTACTTCCATGGAAAATAATGAAAGCTCCCTTCATCGCTACATTATTTAACAATCTGATTATAGATATACCCTTCTTCAAAAAAGGATTGTCACGTATTATTTTACCATAAGTCTAACCATGGTACCATTCCAAATTAAATTGTTAAAACTCATCAAGAATCAGACGTATAGGTACAAAACATGTTATCTAATGTACAAAAGTTAACACTGGTGACATGCCACTGCAGTATCATATGCAAATTGCTTACAAAGTGCAATTAACTCTCTTTACCATCAAGAAAGAAAACCAAAGAAACAATCCTGCAGAAAGAAACCTTTTATTAGTTATGATTTTATACTAAAATCCCAATCAGATGCTATTAATATATATAATTACTGTGCACACTGATACCTGAAATGTACACTGTCCCACATGAAAACATAAAAAAATCTTTTTTTTTCTTTGATTTAGTCAAGACATTAATAATTTTTTTTTTGTTATTAGTACTCATCCACTACATCGTTCAGTAATTTTCATATGTTTTTGTTCTGGAACACCAGAATTATTGTTTTATCTCAACAGAATATAGTGGGATCTATACACTATGTTGCTGTTTCTTTTCCACAGACCACTTAGCCCCAGCCTGAAAATCACTGACATAGTTTATATCAGTTAAAGACACCTGGTAATGTTTTTCATAAATGTTACCACACACAAATCTTACCTTGGCAACAATAAATTCAGCATCTTCTGAGCTATCCAGCTCTAACTTTTGTGCTATATCAGCCAATGAGATACGTGAGTAGGAGAGGTTAATCATTCGCACTCCAGTTTTAATGACATTGTGACGAAGTCGAATTATAAGAGTATAAGTATGGTCTGCTTGAAACTTTGCTCCAAAGTTTTCCAGAACCTCATTGAATCTACCCAAGTTGCCAGTGCGTACAGCTGAGTAGAAAAATAATAATCTGTAAGTTATATTTGTACAAGTTAAATTATAACTTAAGATAATGAGGTAAATCAAGTTTTGTCCTAAAGATACACTAATAAAGATACCTGGTAATTTATTTCCTTATCTGCTTACTCTCTGTCTTAGTCTTATAATTAAAACAATGAAATATTCACCCATAAACAAAACACATTTCAAGTTAAAATATAAAAAACTGCAAAGCCTAAGTTCTGTCACATTCACAAATGTTGATGACTTTACCTTGGGTCAGCTGGAAATATGGAGCTAAAGTTCGACGAAGGGTGGGTTGGCGAAAAATTGAACGGTCTGGTATGTCTCCAAGTAAAAGTTCTACAGTAATTGCCAACTTGTTTACCTGAAAGACATTATTCCAAACAATATCTGTTAGGAAGCAAAAAAATTCTACAGTTTTAAAGGAAATACTTCTAACTTAATGGTTGCATAATATCATTAAAAATCTGTTTAATTAATAAGAATTGCAGACTAAAAAAAAAGTACACAAACTTACCATAAATATTTAAGGGTCAAGAAATCACTGAAACAATAATCCTAATTAACTAACAGAATTTAATCATTATTATAAACAAATCTTGATATAAATGTCCATTTACTGGCAATTATTTGCTACCAGTGTTGGTATCTCAAGCAATATTTGAATAATGTATTGTAGATATGTGTTTTATTGTATGGGGGACAGAGTAAATGGTGCCAGTTTACTAAAAACCATTACTATGTATAATAAGAAGCCTTTATGGAAAAAAAAAATGTCAGATGTAATAAAAGAGTAGAGTGGTGGTTGGTCACTGTGTTTACACTTTAGCTGGTTGTATCTAGGATATCTCAAGATTGCATGATTTACCGACCCCAAGACAACAAAGGTGTATGCAAGATGTATAATAAACTTACTCGTGACTTTTTTCCCAAACCTGTATGGTTGTGTGGTGTTGGGTAAAATGTCACAATATGCATTGATTAAGCCAACACTTTTAAAGAACATTGGAATGACACTAGCTAGTTGAAAATACACACAAAGCCTCGAGAAATTGTATGTCATATTACACAAGCTTCAGTCAGACCTCAATACAATTACTGATTAGTACAACTAATTGATTAAGCAATTATTCAATAATCACCTATGATAAAGTTCTTGCTCAACTTAACAGGTGAGCTAATGTTCATATATTACCAAGTTTTTACTTAGAATGTAATGAATACAAGATTATTTAAAGTCTTCTTATGTATACAGTGAGACTTAAGTAGGTCTATATGTAGTTGTAATTGTGTTTTAATGCTTAGAAGAAAAGAAACTTCAGTAAATTGTCCAAAAATATAAGGTTCTGAATCATCTGTCAATGTTTAAAAAATCCAAATGAAAGTCTGATATATAATAATGCTTGCAAAATTAAATATTAGGTTATGTGATGCTGAAGCTAACCACATGTAACAATAAATATTTCAGATTAAAATCTTAAGTAAATGTTTGTACACAATGTAAGTTAGAAGTCTGTTCCAATTCAAGTTAGTGTTAATAAATTATAACTTCTATTATTGAAATGGTTTGAGGATACAAATTTTAAAATGTCATGGTTATAATGGCCTTAGGAATACAAGTTAATTTTAATGAAAGCACATTAATAAGTAGTGAAGAATTTTTGTATTTACTTTTGGTCTGCAGTTTTGAGCTCAATATAACTGTTCAGATTTAGAATGGGAAACATTATTAATCCAACAAAATAACCTATGTAGATTACTAGAACACCAGAAAATGTACATTCTGATTCATAGGTGGAAGGGAACGATCAAACTGTTTACAATTCTTTTCAAATAATTCAGATTATTAACTAAAGAAAATTTTCATTATCTCAAAAGTGAAATTTAAAAAATGCACTTCCCAGCCATAAGTCTCCACATATGAGATACGACCCACCCAGTATATAATGAAACACATTTAATAGAGAAGAATCGAGTTGTCAAGGGCATGGCAATCAAATAGCAAATGCTACTTTTATGACAATATGGAAGGATAGTTTTGGATTCAGCATAATATAACCATCTCCAAAATGTTATCCTTTTAAGTATATTAACTGCATTTCCACTGTATATAATTTTTTCTTACCGTTTGTTTAAAGCCTACAGCAGTGTGCTGTGGTGCCTTCCTGATTGCCTGCAAAAGGTTTTTATGAGCTTCTGAGTATTCCAGCTGAATGGCTTTAATACATCCTGAAAAATACTTCAAAATTAGATGTAAGAAACATACATTTTTACTGAAAATGTACCAAAGTCCCAGTCTTGTATGCTTCAAATGTATCACATCTTTAAAGATCTAAAGAAAAAAAGTTTAAGTTTTTGTCATTTCCAAAGACAAATTTCCTGCAGTTGCAAATATTCTGAATACCAAATATTGTTAACAAAGACTACAGTGAAATTGAGAAGGACTGTCAAAAATTGTAGATGTAGCTTAATCATATCATGCACAAGTTACTCAACCTTCTACAGCCAAATTCAAAATATTGGTGAAACCATTTTCACTTTTCTCATAGATTTTGTTTACACATAGTAGAAATTATTCTATTTGTGGGTAAAATTATGGACCTCTATTCATAAAAAAAAACTTAAATCAAAAATACTCTCTTCAGCAATATTAAAAAAGTTAATTGTTAATTTTAGAAAAACTGAATTAACTGCCACCCATTCACCGTGATGGCAACTTCAATAAATACTACTGCGATAGAAATGAATAAAACCCCTCTAACCCGAGGGCTTTCGAAAGGCAAACCTTTCGTCTACAGTTTGTCCCTGAAGAAGAAAGGTCCACCTTTTGAAAGCGCTAGGGTTATAGGGTTTTTATTCATTTCTATCAAGACTTCTTGAACCTACGTGTTTTTCTAACATCTTGAAAATACTACTGTGAGATATTGTCGATAAATTTAATAATTCTGATTTATGCATAACAAATACTTTTTTCAGTAGCAATAACACCACACATAAAACTGTTATCCTTCATAAATGTTCCCCATAGTAAAAATAACAAGCACTGCAGCACCTTTAGCATGACTTTAATAAGTGTAGCAGGGTTCGCTTGGGGAAATATGTGAAAAATATGGTGTTTTCTGAATTTATAAGGACTGATCTATTAAAGCTGTAATTATGCTAAGACAATATTGTAGAAACCATTGCAAGTAAAAAAAACTGCTATAATTATTTACAAATAATATTTTATTAATCCACTTGAAGTCAGTTTGATTGTTGGATTTTGTTTGTAGGAGTCTGTTTATTCAAAAATGCCTTTATTAGAAAAAACATTAAATTTCTTATTCATTTGTAAAATTAATGTTTGTTTGTTATGAATTTTGCGCAAAGCTACATGAGGGCTATCGGCGCTAGCCGTCCATAATTTAGCAGTGTAAGACTAGAGGGAAGGCAGCTAGTCATCACCACCCACCACCAACTCTTGGGCTACTCTTTTACCAGCAAATGGTGGGATTGGCCATCACATGATAATATCCCCACAGCAGAAAGGATGAGCATGTTTTGTGGGACAGGGATTCGAACCCATGACCCACAGATTGAGAGTCGAGCGCCCTAACTACCTGGCCATGGCGGGCCGTGTAAAATTAATACAATTTTCTGAATTCACAGGCATTATGCAGCACTGAATAACAAGTTGTCAATGAAGTATTCATTAAAAACATTCACTGCATAATCAATAAGTTTGGATAAATTGTTTGCAGTTGTTATTCTCATTTTTATAGCTAAAATATAACTCACTCTTGAAACTTGTGAGAGGTTATTATTTTCTATTGGTAAATTGCAACTAAACAGCTCCTATGTGGGTACATTTTGACTTGTTATTCTTATGATAACTTTAGAAAAGGTTGTTGTGAAATTATTCACAAAGAACGTCTTTCATAAGCATCAAGATTAAACTAATACAGCAAGTGTCCTTCACTCTGCACAGTGATTATACTTCTTAATCTCAATAACAGCCAAGTCTGATTTATAGATCAAAAATGGCCATAGCATAAAATATCTTTCACACATCATAAGTTTATTCCGAAAGCAAAACAACTCACCAAGGTAATATAAAAACCTTGCCCATTCGTTATTGGAGGCCATGTCTGGAAACACAGATTTGGATACCAGTTTGGCTGCTTGTTCATAAAGGTTGTAATGAAGGTAGTTTCTCAGTAAACAGTTCAGCAAAACTGCCTGCCCTTCGTAATCATTTCTTAAAGTTGCTGTTCTAAGACGACTATGTAAGAAGCTATGAAAAATAAGAATAACCAAAATGAGGTGATTTTTATTAAAGCCAAGAATTGGTAAAATTAATTTTTAATTATTTTTCTTTCTAAATAAATTTTTCTTTAATCTTAAAAAACATTCCTTTTTATGTAGTTATACAATTTTATAGACTCTTGAAAAATCACAATCGAATACTATTATGACCATAATCTTTGTTGTATAGAATAAGGAAAAATTATATATATATATATATATATTTCTTATTGCAATAATATGTATCACTAGTTTTTAATAAAGCTAAATTACAACAAAAAACAATCAACACTAAGTGTACACTACCTTCTTATGTCTTTAAGGTGGTCAGCGAGTTCATAGCAGCGTGAGTGGTAGAAATAGCATTTTGAAGCAAGTAAGTCCAGAGAACGCCTGTTGTTGCCATGTACCTTCTGCATTAGTAGATTTGAGCACTTAACAGCCTAGAGGAAAATGAAATACAAAATTACAATCTTGGATGCACTACATAAAAGTTCAGTGGAGAAAGCCAAATCACAGACACTTTTATGATAGGCCAAGCTTGTCACAGCTCTCATGCTATAGGCATATTTTAATCATTATTATTTTAAAAATCTGTGAAAATACTACAGGATAATAAACATTCTGAGTTCTTTCATACCTGACACAAGAAATGAAAATTAAACATCCTGAATTATTTCATTCTTGACACTAACAATGGAAAATAACCATTCTAAATTACTTCATTCCTGTCATTACCAATATAAAATAAACATTCTAAGTCTATTAGAATAAAAGAAATTCAAGGAATATTTGTTAAATAATAGGCTTTAGTAAAAATTAAAGAGCTATCTTGCACAACCAAATTCGTGCATTTTTTTATTGTTTTTCATAATATTATTATTATTACTACTACTACTGTTGTAAACATGACCGATGTTAACTAGCAGCACGTAGAAACAGACATTCGGTTAGTACAGCAGTGTATGCATTCTACTTTTTTACATCAATGTTTATAATATGTCACAGGTTGAAAATATAACTGTCAATTAATTACACAGATGTGATGTCAAAGTTTTTTATTTGTTAATTTTTATACAAGAATTAATCGATATAGAATTAGTGCCAAAAATCTAGTGATGTAACTGCCAATCCTAATGATGAAGAGGTTTTTTGGAGAGGAAATATTTTTACAGTGACTTTTGGGTGGATAAATAACAAGGTGATCCTAGTTAGTTTTGAAAGAAAAAATTATTTTCAATAATACAGGCCTGTGAATTTAAACTTCAAAAAAAGTTGTTTTGGTTTTAATAAAGGATTTTCCATAATTCATCTACAAATCTGGAAGAAAAAAAAAAACTCTTACTTAGATCAAATTAGTATTTCGTTTACTAGAATGAAATTTTTTTATTATTATATTTGTTATGTTTGGGTTCTAAAAAAGAGCGATAAGACTCTCACATAGTGATTGATCTTGAGAAATCTATAGCCAGTGGTTGTCAACATTTTAAACACAACAAAATGGAACCTGATTTCAATGAAAATTATTCACTTATGTAAAAGTACATATGACGATTTTGTGAAAAATCTGTACGTGATGGAGATAAATGGATATCATTTTCGGATTCAGTGTACAGGAATTACTGTAGAACATGTAAAAATTTCAAGACAATAAAACCGTCACAGGCCTGTGTAATACATCTTGTTTCTTTAAAATATTAAAATCATTAGTAGTAAAATGAAAAAAATAAATAAACTTTCTCTTTAGCTCTATCAATAATTCAAAAATTCAGTCAGTGTTCATGTGATATTTTCATATTTTCTACAGAATTCTGAATAAACAAAAACTCATTTCAAGAGTTATGTAAATTTTAAAACTTCTAAGAATGTGGCATAATTTAGCACTATCTCTTATAAAAGTTTAAATAAAAATACGTTCATATTTTATTTTTATTTCAGACTATCTTAGAGTGTACTGATTAAAAAACAATGAGGGAAACCTGTTCACTGTGACTTTCTTGAAAAATAAACTCAGGTTCAAAATTTTGCTAAAGAAATTACTTTATATTTTTGTCAAGAAAACAAAGACTGTTAAGCCTAATTTGGAAATTTCATTTTTCACAATTTTGTATCCATTAAATAATAAGCATTTTTTGTAAGGTTTCCTTAAACACAATGAAATCTCACTAACACTGTCCACTGTTTGATTTTAAAACTGTTTAGATCTATTTCTTTTACTTTTTGGCACTGAGCTATAACTAATTTATGTTTGTATAATGATATATACAAATGTTGTCAGAAACGTTTGTGGCCTGACCTGAAAAAAATTGGAATGTATGATTTTTTTCTGATGAATATTTAGTTTGAGCCTTTTTATGAGTAAACAATATGTAACATATAACTTAAGTTTATTTTGTGCGTTATGGATCTTTGAAATATAGAAGTAAGCATTGTTAAATGTCACAGAGAAGATCAAACTTCATAGCGTGATCAAATATTTTGTTAAAAAAATGGAGAAAATCAAATTTCATTCCGTGCTCAAATATTTTGTTTTAAAAAATGGAGAAGACCAAACTTCATGCAGTGATCAAGTATTTTTTTTAAAAAACATATCATTAAAAAAAAATCTACCAGGACATGGAAGCAGCATTAGGAGTGTGTGTTCTGGCATATTCAACAACAAAAAAGTAGTGTACCGAGTCTAAGCATGATAGATAATCACGTGAAGATGATCCAAGGACAGGTTGACCCTCGACGCTGCCCACAACAGAAATTGTATATGAAGTTCATAATCTGGTTATATATGATACAAGAATTGCCATTGGTAAATTAGTAGAGGAAGTGGGAATCGGTAAAAGTACTGTAGCAGGCATTTTACGTGATAGTTTGGGCATGAGTAAGGTTAGTACCAGATGGGTTCCAAAAATGTTGTCACCTTAGCAAAAAGAAACTTGAGTTGTTTAAAGGTAATGCCTACTCCAAAGGTTTCAATAGATTCATAATTACAGATGACAAGAATGTTACCACTATATCCCAGAGACAAAAAATGCAAAGTTTCCAATGGAAACACCCAAGTTCACTCACAACAAAGAAGTTCAAGTCACGAGCTTCTGCAGGGAAGGTGATGGCATCAATTACTTGGGATGCCATGGGTGTTTTACTAGATGGTTATTTGGAAAAGGTTCAAATCATTACAGGAGGTTACTGTGTATCCATAAACAGCAATTCACATCAAGAAATCATATAAAAGAAAAGGGGATTATTCAAAAAAGACGTATGATAAATGAATATATCTTTTATTGTTTCTAAATGTTCAGCAATGCACAAACTTAATGTATAGCTTTGAGATATTCAGTATTCCATATATCATTGTGCATGTGTTAGGCACTGGAGGTGACAGGTTACATTTTACATGTCAACTAATTTAATCTGAAATAATGCTAAATCAGAAATTAATTATTTTGACATAATATGTAAACCAGTAGGTGTTATGGTTGAAAATCATATTTTTAGAAAAGATATTTAAAAAATGACATTTTTAAAAGCTAGTACAATGTCTGATACTATATTTACTTTTGTAATTTACCAAAGAAAATGATAAATTTTTTCATTTGTTGTATTTATGTTTACACAATATATATTTCAAGTGCAACATTACTGTTTTAGCCTGATAATGATAATGACACAGTAATTTCAAAGTTGCTTTAAAAATAAGTACGTAAAAAAAGTACTTGTCCAACAGACAAAGTATAACGGTAAAACTTGTCGCCCACATGTCGAGATAAACTAGTCAACCCTACACCATATCTTAACAATTACGTCAAAATGAAAAAGTACAAATTCTAGTGTATATTTGACCTTCCTGAAAATGAAAGGAAATGTTTACAACTATTCACGATTATTATCAAACATTACCAAACAAAATGAAAAGCTTAAAAATTGAACAAAAAATCATTTGTACTCTGTCAACAAACAGCTCAAAACTTATAGTTATAACACTGTAAGAATATTCATTACCTAAAGCTTATCAAATGATTATTTTAATGCTACTATTCATGTCTACTTGTATGAATAAATTTTAACAAATGCCAGAAATTCTAAACATTTTCTTATATCTAAAACCATTCCATTACATCTATTACAAAATATACCTGATCAATTCGCTGCAAGTCAATCAAGTACAATAGGACAAGCAAGTGGAAGTATACGTCCAATTCAGGAAGCAGTGGCAACTGAGCTGCTTTTCCTGTGCGAGCCTTAAAAGCAACAGCTTGCCCCTCAGTGTCCATAGGCTTGAAAGAAAAGTATGTAAAAATGTTTAAAAAGAATTTTAAATAAAGTTCTGAAATTCTTCTAACTTATTATAGTCATGAAACAATGTGTGAAATATTCAGTTCACTGCACTGACAACTAAAATCATACAATACGTTGACAAATTAAACAAAAACATTAACTGTGTAGAACATTCTAATAACAGAATTGTAAAACAACAAAACACTTGAATTGATATTCTTTCTTAAGGTATTTTATATATCTTAAAATTTCATTGTGTGATACCATATAAATGTGTAAAATATGAAAGCTACCCTAAAAAATATGAACCTGAACAGAAAAATAGCAATTATTTGTGTAGTTGCTTTCACGCTGAAATACACATAATAAAAGGTACAGAATGTATTGTTTACTTTATGGGTATGATTTAACTATTAAACTTATCCTGATATTTGTTCTTTTGTAGTACTTATATATATATTAGGATTGTCTTGATATACCATAGTTCCATATCAGGATACAATTTGTTCTTGTATTGTAATTGTAAAAGTTGATGTTTTTTTCTCATTTCGATCATTATTTTACTTTATAGATATCTAATTTGTGCGTGTGTCCATTTATTTTCAATTCCCTTTGTTGCAAGCGTAGCTTCCCGAGATATATTTTTTTTCCCTCGTGTTTTTTCAGATATACATTCTTGGCTAAATGGCTTAAGTTTTGGTATATTTCAATCTAATATGGCTGTTCCAACTTCTGAATGGACTAATTAACTGTCAGTATGATTTCTGATTGGCCAATATTTTATTCAGTGTTATGAAAGCTTACGAGTACAGCTACAGAAATACAAACACTCAAATAGTTATGATATTGACAGTGCTGTTATTTTATTTCACCCCATAGTAAAGGTACCAGAACATGTTATATCACGTTTGCAAAACATAAAAAAAAATCAGAATTTAAAGGATGTGATGCTGAAGGTGCAGCCTGGTATTACAGATTGGAATGATTCCATCAAAACAGACATGGTTAGCATCATTGTATATATTTATATTACAAACAATGTAAGTAAATTCAATTAAATTTCCCATTTTCAATGTATTCAGATTTTATAAACAAATATTTTTATTCACCAACATATACAATTTGTAATTCCTAAATACCAATCTCAGAAAAACAAAACTCTTACTTCATCAACAAATGTTAACAAGCTATCCCGCTGCTCAACAGAATGGGTATAAAAGCCACAGATGATCTTCCTCAGAACTTTAGAATTTAATTTTTTTCTTGTTGTCACTAAAGCACGAAGTACTCGAAATATAAAGCGAGGTTCCTTGGAGCTGACTGACTTTTCAATATGGCGAGCGTGTTCCTTCAGGTCTATAAAAAAACAAAAAGTTTTAAGCATAATCTTTAGATCAACAAAACATATATAGTGCTTTAGAAAGAAAATTAATATTCAAAAAGAGAAAGAAAAAATAATCACAAATAAACAAGACTACAAGTTTAGACAAAATAAACGAACAGACAATTCCAAGAGTTTTTCTTAACATGACATGTCAGAATGAAAAATAAATTCAATTACTTGTACAACTGTTCTTTCTCTCTCTCTCTTTGGTGTCCCTTGCTGGCTCTAACTTAGGACTAAATCAATTAAAGTCAAGAAAATAATCAACTGATCAAAGTTATTGTTTCAGTTTATTCCAACCATGCAGGTAAACAAAATATTGTGATTATGATTTCCCATTATCATTTTCAACTAATTCAAAGTTGTTTAACTTATCTGATTAGTGTTATGACTCAGGAAAATAATTAACTAACCCAAATTAGTGTTCTTATTTATTATTTTTTGATTATTCCAACTATCCAAATACTAAGGCTATTGTCACTATCACTAATTTTGAACTTTAGCTAGAGTATAACTGCCTGGCATCGCCCAATATTTTAGTTCTGAAACTCTGAAGGCCACTTCACAGGTACTGCTGCTCATGAAACAGCAGGACTTGTTTTGTGTGTGTAGATGTTAATAACCTGTGTCTTGTATTTTCTCACAAAAACTGTTCCTTCTCTCTCAGCTAAGTAGCATATTAGAAAATAAACTTCTAATTAAAAATGAACCATTTTTATGTCTTCAGTATTTTAATGTCTGATTATTAGCATGGGTTCCCTTTACATAGTGAAAGGGGAAGCATTCCCCTTAAACTCAATTCCCCTAAAATGTTTTGCAAATTTGAGTCAAAACAGATGTAAACTAAATTAAAACTAAAGTTATTTTTTGTTATTTTATTTTGCATAATTTGGCTAAAATATTTTATTTAACTATAAATATTTCTGTTGATTAGCTGAAGCTTTTTTTGCTAGCTGAAATACTGCTTTATTATCAGTTATATAATGCAGTTATGGCATGTACTTTTACCATAAAATATACTTCTACAAACTATACTCATAACCAGCAAGGAGTCTTAACACTGAAACCTTTGAGGCTTCTGCCACAATATTCCGGTGTTCTTGACACTTGTACAAAGGGCTTTCTTCAGGCTTCAGAGCTTGAGGGATCCAGTATTTTAAAATCTTATGGGTTCTTGTAATGAGCACTTCAAGATGTAGTTTTTGATGCCAAACATGTAGTTTCATTTTGTGTTGGGTGCTGCAGACATTTACATCAAAGGGGCACTGTGGCCTGATATCACATAATGATATATTTGATCCCAAAATAGCTCACACTTTTAATTCTATTTTCCACACTACTCAAAATATGGAACTTTATGCATATATTATGGTGCAACATATGGCAAATATTTTCTGAATTTAAACAGTATTTTTAAATGCTGCTACATTTCTACTTCTATTTCATGGAGAAAGGTTATCCTGAGAACATACAGCAAAAGAACATCTTATAAATGAAACTTGCTTGTTCTTTTTATGATCGAAATAGCAGACTAATAAATATGACGTAGTAAAAGTTAATAAATATATACATTTAGAATAGGTTATAAAATTTCCATCAATACACTCTCTGAAACTATTTTGATCAAAATCAATTAAGCATGGGTTTATGCAATGTAAAAGGCTGTAAGTCAGAAACAAGACTGACTCTATCCAGACCAGCAATCAATAACAATGCCAATTTTAGTCATAATTGACATTTTAAATTTGTGTCTTTTGTTATGCATAGTCCCTTGTAAACACTGCAGCCAGAAATCATACTCACATTGTTGTTTAAGATTCATATTGACTTAAATTTAACAAGAATAAATAAATATCCTTTTACTCAACAGTATTGTAAAAAAGGAAATGTTGTGTATCCAGTGCACAGATGTGAGAAAGTTTTAATGTCCCAAAGAATGTTTTGGGAGTCATGGATATGTTAATGGAAGCTCCAGAACAAAGGTGACAATTGTGCACCTTATCATCAAACTGAATGTTACCCCTCATACAGAAATACATGTTCTCAGTCTAGTTTTCCCTCCAACTGTACTGTAACATTACCTTCTATGTCTAGCAGACCATATGTACTATATCACAAAACTCCAAGGAGGAGATGAATCATATTTGTAAGGAAACAAACATCTAGGATTGATGGGTTGAAGGAATGAACTGATAACAGACCTAAAATAATGAAGAAAATAAATGAAACAGACCTACACAAAAGTAAAAAGTGTTGGCACATTTTTTTAAAAACCAGCATCACCTACAGAAAACTTACTAAGAACATGATCTTATCCTGCAACAAATAAAAATCTGTGAGAATATACATACAGATAATTAATGACATCTGTTGAATAAGAAAAGATTGGCTGCCATAATGAAGTTAAGAGAAATATGCTAAACATGGGATTTATTTTTCTAACTTGAAAAAAGACTTTCAGCATGGGATGAACTACATATAAAAGCCAAAGGTTAAAAATCTTCAGGAACAAACTTTCTGGATGCCAATAAAAGTATTGTAAAAATTCCTCTCATTAACCATCCTTTGACTAATGTCACAATAAATGTAAAAGGGCATGAAGTGAGCAGAAGTTATATTAAATCAAGTGATGGTTTTGTTTTATGAACTTCTAGATAAAGTGTAAGCAATATTATATACTTAACTCAAATTATTTTTTCCAGTCTGGTGATGAGAGGATATTAATAATGTGGACTTAAGCAAGTGCTACTGTTAGGTTACAACATTATATACTGTCCAGAGAATAGTTGCTTCTCTGTTAGTTTATACTTGATGTAAACAATTAGAAGTGTCTACACTGAATTGAAAAACTTAACAAAGCTGAATTACCTCATAGTACAGTACTTCTATTTGAGTCACCATCTCTGATAGCAAATGCTGTAAGTGTTTTGTCTTTGACTGACCACAAATTTATTTCTGTTTTATGGTCTGATAAGCTTAGTAATGGTAATTTTCACACTAGCAATACTAAACAGACTTTAACTTTATGAAGCACTTTACCTGACATTGATAGGTGCCAGAAACTTGAACTGCTTTAGGTTTTTGCTTTTTAGGCACATGGATTTCAAAGGTTAAATTTATTTGAGCTGATATTTATAAATTATTGTTCAGGAATAATATCAATAGGCCAAATGACCAGCTTTACTTTTAATATTCTTAAGAATCTGGTAAAGTTTCAAAGTTTTAATATATATATATATATCAAATATAAAGTTATTAGATGTATCCAATGAATACAAACACCTTTCACTAATTTTCTGGGGGGTGAACCCGTGTATTCATATGTATATATAAAATTATAAAAAATTGTAATACACATACATTAAACAACTCAGAGCTTGAAAACATTGACTTCCTCCTCTTTCACGGTTAGTTGCTTTGGTGTAGATTAGTTAAATGAACAACTAACTACATAACAAATTTATATAACCTTCTTAGTAAAAATTGTGTTGAATTTTCAAAACATCTCTGTTTATACCTTGAAAAATTAATATTCTTTCAGTCATACATTTCATGAACTTGGTCATTACATTAATTATCTTACTAAAATGTAGCCAGGAAAACCACAACATTAAATATTAAACATGGAACTAATTATGTTTTGACCTTCTATCGTCAAAAGATCTGTATCTTGTTTTACGGTCTCTCCTTCAGTGCTAGAATTACCAGTCTGTTGGTCTTCAGCATTTTTCATTTCAACATCAGTTCCTTGTTGGATAATCATAATTTACACTTCAGTCTATCTGGAAATACAGGTATCGGTTACATTATTTTATTTATGCAAATAAACTTAGGAAAAATAACAAAATTAATCTAAATACATACCTTACTAAATGCATTTCTAACTAACCAGGTTTTTTTTATACATTTTATTTGTAAAAACAAAACAATAAAATATAAATATTGAAAGGGCTTTGTATTAATACTTCCAAAAGACTGACTTATGATTGCCCTAGAACTTTGAGAAAAATTTAAAAACAATATTCATGGTTATAAATGCATAAGCTATGATACCTAATTTGTGGACATAAGCTTATTCTCATACGAACACAGAACCTAAGGTGGCATATACTCCTGCCCAGGGTTTTTTTTATAATTTTTTTAAATATCTAATTCACTTATAAATATATTTAAATAAAGATGGGCATTCTTACAGATAAAAGGTTAAGCTTTCTTTTGGTTGAACTTCCTTTTTTAAATTGAACAATAAATAAGTGGTAAAATGTCATTCTGTGTGCAAATTTGAAGTAATATTTCAACACATTCACGTTTCAATTTTATGATCACCATAAAATCATTTGGAAGCAAAATCTAAAGTTTCCATGTGCCTTTTTTTACAGCTGTCGGATGTTGTCTGTCAAGTGCTCTATGATACACAACTACATTTAGATTTCCTCCATTATCAAATATCAAGTGGATCATCTGACAGAATTTTGCTGTGTTGAATATTGGACAGTTTTGTTCTTTTGGCTAACAAGTTATCACAAGGATGCAGATCAAGGGCACCTACAGAAAAAGAATTAGGTGGGGGTCAAGTAACTTATGTTTGAAAAAATCATGAATCAAAATACAAATACCTTATGATTTTCCAATAACAAAGAAGAAGAATTTTATATATTTAGTCATTTTTTTTTTCCTTTTCAAAATCCAGGGAGGGGAAGTCAAGTGATGCCCCTTCCTGCAGATGCCCATGATGTAGACCATCATTACATGAATGTTGACCACACTGTGAAAACAGATTCTTTTCCTCCATGGTCTCAATCGTACATTCCCAAAGATTTTTTGCACTACGACAATTAGTATTTGTTTTATTGATGTGTGACGATATCAGGAAACTTTAAAAGAACCCTATTTATAGAAGGTGGACAAGTTTTCTATTAGAATGGATTTGAATTTGAAAAGGTGAAGTTAAAATAGAACAAAAGTTTGAAGCTATAGTCTCTGACAAATGTTTTAGGTTGTGTTTTCATGATGAAAGAAGATGTACACCAACTCTCTCTTCCAGAAAATTCAATACTTTCAAAGATGTTTAAAGACACATAGTTACAAGTTTTGTACACCAATATGTAGACTCTTTCTTATTAATAGATATTTCTCTTTGTTTGAGTGATCTGTTGACTAGTCTTTTCCAAAATTATTATAATTAGTGCCTTTTAAGGTTTGAAGATCATACATTGAGAGTCTGTAAATAAAACTTGAGGAGGGGGGTAATTTTGTAGGTAAGAAGTGGACAAAAGCTTAAACAGGGGTTGTGAAAATGCAGTACATGTGCATGAGTTTTTGAAGACAAAAATACTTTTGGAATTTTCTGCTGGCTTAATGATCAGGTCACTGCCACTAACTGAATTGTAAGAAGCTAATAATTTATACAAGCAATCTGAAGCTGGAAAGATTCCTGATGACAAGAAGACAAACAATGTGATCCCTTTTTTTCTTTTTTAATTGATTTAAAAAGGATCAAGGGAACTCCAGGTGTAAAGCTTATTCATTTTACATCTGTTATTATCACTCAAAAACAAGTCACAACCTATTTTTGCTGAGTGACACTTTCATCCAGAAATGGCATTGTTTTACATGGAATATTTCCATTCTGAAATATTATTATAATACTAACATTACAGTGTTAAAACATGCCAGAACAACACATGTAAAAAAAAAAAAGTGTGGTAGCTATATTTCTCTTAATTTTTTAGAAATGTTTAAAGCTCTATCAGTTAAATTAAATGCACTCTTGAAAATCTTAAGTTATTCTCAACATTATTTAACAATTACAGTAATGTATCTATTGTACTTCACACTATTACAGTAGGAATGAATCATATAAAACACAAGTCAGGATTTTCTTCCCTTAAAATATAAAGATATCTTCATCTATGAGTAGGAATTATCTCCTATGCTAAAAGTAAAAACTAAAATTATTACATACTTCACAACATATTCTATTCAAACATTTCACATGTAATGAATTAATATAATATTACATACATGTGAGAGCACGATATAGAAATTAGTAACAGTATACATTCTTCGAAATTGTTGAATGGTACATTTCAAGAATTTATTAGTAATACTACTAATAGGATATACCATGAAGCAGAAACTTTAAACTAAAGTCAACATCACATTCACAGTTTAAGTGTTGTTTAAGACTCATAACTTAGATATTTAAATTTGTTTAAAATTTTGTAAATATGTAATCAAAACGTTAAACTTTTTTCCTCATTTTAATGTTATGCCTTCTTTACTCTACGAAGTGTAAATTGTAATACTACTAATATAACTTGTAACGCCATATCATTATCATTGTTATAACCTATTCAGTTATTCAACTTAAGTTACTGTACTGTCAGTAGGAAAACGACTGAATACTCATAATAAAAAGTAACTTTAACATAATGAATGCCCACATAAATTGTAGTTTAATTAATCACAGTCTAAAGGTAAATGTTAAACTAATTTCAAACAGCTAAACACTCACCTGAAGACTTCAAACTTTTTAGTTTTTTATCAATCACACCTGACCAGACACAATTACACAAGCGTTCTTCTCAGTTAGTTAGGCCTAATCATAGATAAAAGGATTCTATCATAACAAGTTCATATGTGCATCGTCATAACCTATAGGTGGAGTTAATTAAAAAAAAAAATCTTAACTACCTCGAATTAGTAGTCATAATAGTTCCTGGTTAGGGAAATATTTAACTTCTGTCAAAAAAAAAAAACAGTATAAAATCATGTAAAATGTTAATTATTGCTTATTACCACTGAAAACAGTGATTTTTAATTCGTTATTCACCCCTGCCAGTGATATACAGCTCTTACACAACTGTTATTGTGAAACAACTAATAACTGATCACGGATTTTCTCAAAAACGCATAACTATTACGAAAAGAACAAACTGTCTTTCTATTTTATAAAATAATTATAATAATCAAAAACCGGATATCAGTTATTTTGTTTTTTGACACAATATCTTACTCAATTAATACAAAATGGAACTCTGGCAAAAGTTATTCAGAGACAGCCCTCGCGTGTCAACATAAAAAAAAAATCGTAATCTGTGTACACTGAGTGACAGATTCAGAAAAGTTAGATGGATAGGCTAA